AAAAAAATTATTTTAAAACAGTCATGTAGCAAAGCCTGCCTGCTCAAAGACATTGGTTTCTGTGCAGTAAAAAAGATGTTATACCAATTAAGGAAATCAATTCATCATCATAGTTTTCCTGGCAACCAACCCCCAGGTGAATACATTGTGGTTTATTTTCACATTTATTGCAAGTCAGATGCTCTGGCTTTAGAGTTGATGCTCTTCTTTTCAAACTACGCAGCTGCAAGAGAGAATTAAGATTTTGAAAAGTGTTCTGACAGCAGATAGCTCTAATTTCTAATATCTGGATTTATTTGGTCTGCTTTGAGTATGATAATACTGAACTGCTGCCAATTTTTTTAATCTGTTTTGTTTGTTTGATTTAAATAAAAGAAGGATTAGGAGATCTGTCACTGGAATCCAAGAACAAAAGGATTCCAATGAAGCATAAAAACAGCTGAAGGCTGGAGCAAAAATCCTGTGCCATAGAAAAATATTTGGTAAAGCCAGGGAAGGAAAGACAAAACTGGAGGGAATTGCTGTGGGCATCAGAGTTAAATGAGTAGAATAAAATGAACTAAATGTTCCCGTAAATCTGGCAATTGAAATGTTATCTCTAGGGTCTGAGGGGATAACCGAGATTGACCCTCTTAGTTTAGGCTCTGTTATGTATTTTTGTGGCTGACCAGAGTGCCGTGGCCCTTCGCTTGGACTGGATCCCAAATAGAAGGCGCTGTTGAAGGTTTGCTGATAGCTGCACCCCAAACAGCAGACCTCATGCTCTCCTGGGAGCAAACAAGGTGACATGTAACTCTCATTTCAGGGCTTGGTTCTGTCTTACCAGATTTCTCTGAAGACACGCTCTCCATTAAGGCCTCATATATGTCTGGTTGGGAACTCAGGGCTTAGTTCTTTATAAACTCACAGACATCTGGGAACTGCAAAATCCTCCCCAAACTACAAATGTGCTTTTGGTACAAAATTCTTTAGCAGTTCCTGATGCAGTGGAACAGATACAGCTATTTCAGGGCATATTTAGCCCTATTTATTTTCTGTGGGACTAGTCACACCAGTTTTATTCTGTTCTTTAAATGTTTTTGTGTGCCAAGGTCTGACTTTCTGCTCAGAAATGCCACTACCATTATGGAAACTTTTTGCAGCCCTGCTTTGAGAATAGGTGCGTTATTTTACTGAAGTCTTTTTAACCAGCAGCTGCTTGTATCGGTGGGTGCTACACATGACCTTTATGAAATACCTGCAGTGGACACTCACTGAAAAATAAGAGAAAGCACTAAGGATTAGGAGGATTTCTTAGAGGAAAGTGGCAGATATCCCATATTTGGGAAGTTGGGCATAGTTCAAGCAAAATACAGTTGCAGTCCAGATCTGGGAGAGAGTATTTTACACAAAAGCAGCAGATCTCTTGCTGCTTCACTGGGTGATGGGGATTGCATTCAGGTCTGCCACTCTGAAATTCCTGCAGAAATGGTCCTCTGCTCAAGGGCAGAGGACTAGGATGATTTGGCCTGCTGCATTACCCTAGCTAGCACCAAGTCTTGTAAACAGGTATACAAAACAAAATTACTGGACATAGGCAGCCAGAAAATACTGGAGGAAAAAAAAACGGAAAAGCCCAGCTTTGTATGCATGGCTTGTCTGGCAGTCTGGAGGTCTCCCACAAAAAGTAACATACCCCTCAATGCACAAGAGATGCAGAGGTGCAAAGTGCTTTCCCAGTCGCTTCCACCTCGCTCTTTCACCTGTTACTATTTGTTACTGCCAGGAGCTCCATCTCATGGTGAGAGCAAACAGTGCAGCCATAGCTAAACTAGGGAAAAAACGGTAACTAACCTGTGATAATGCTTTTTCCCGACTGCAGCTTATGCCTCCGATCAAGACCATATTAGGCATTAGGGGCCTGGGGTACTCAAACACAAAGTCATATTTCATGAGCCAAACAGACGCGTGGCTGAACAGCTCAAGCACTGTTGCCTCTTGTTGGAGGAATTCTTTGATCAAATCATCATACGGTGAATAAAGCAAGCTGCAAGCCAGGGAACTGCTCAGGCTAGCTATGAGATTGCCCGTGCGCTGGAGGAACGCCATGCGGTCTGTGTAGCGAGTGAAGAACCTAGGAACGTAAGAAGGAGGATTTGGACAGAGGGTAGCGTGGAAGTCTAGGCTGCACGGCAGTCCCCGTACAAGGTAAACAGAAGGTAGGGAGAGATGTTCGGCCACTATCTGTCCACATGGAAAAAAAGGATCCATAAAGACAGCATCAAATTTGCTTTCTTCAAGATATTCGATCAGCTCTTTGTTAGACAGAAGACGTTTGCAGGAATCAAAGAACATGGTTGTAATATTTGCCATTTTTGAGAATTTTTCCAAGAAGGGTTGAGGTGTGAAACTCCTATAGCCCAGCTTTTTAAATTCTGCCTCCACATACTCCTTGGTGTAAGGCACAGAGTATGTTTTTATGGTATAATGCACCGACGAATCTATCCGCAAATTTATCTCTGGCGCAACCACCACGATTTCATGTCCCCTCTGTCTGAGCCGCTCCACAACTGGGCGCATGCTGAGCCAGTGGCTGCCATCGATAGGTACAACCAAAAGCTTTCCACCTTCAGAAAAGGTCCACAGGAACAGGAAAAACACAACCCAGGAGGCAAGAGAATTAAATCCCGGATTTGAAGAAGCCATTTTCCTTGTGCTGTCAGCAAAGTTTTAAACGGCCGCAAAACTATTGCAATGGACGAGGAGTGAATCGTGGGGTACTTTGCACTTTAATCTTAACTAAGGTAAGTGTTTAACTTTTAACGGACTGTATGTTTTTGGGCAGAAATGAGGGTAATTTTTAACTGTGGGTAAAGGTTGGGTTTATTATCTGTGCACATGGTGAAGGCTTTAAACAACTGGGCACTGAAAGATAAAGTTGAATACTTGAATTAACATTAGAGGATTCAAATGCTCGAGGGAGAAGTGTCAAGCAATTGGCCATGTGACGCACTGAAAGGCTGATCAGAATTATGAATGAGAGGTAACACCTGACCAAGCGATCACTATCTTATTAACATCTAGTTAATGAGGAACTCCCTGCCTTGAGCCTGCTCAGCTGATTGGACACAAAACTTGGAACAAAAGTCTGACCTTTGGATTACCTTGTGCTCTCAGAGTCTAAACAAGAAGCAATGATTGACAGAGATTTGATATACAGTGAGTTGATGAGGTTTATCTTCAGATTTGTTATCAAATCAGACCAGTTATCAAAGTGAAAGCCCTGAGTCTAGAGTAGTAAACGTGATGCAAGCTTAGCAAAAAGCTCTGCTGTTGCAACACCACTGCGGTCTGAACAACAGAATAAACGACTGATATCTGCACTATTTGCACAGCCCACTAGGGAGATTTAAACAAGCTAGGGAGGGAGGGAGGGTAGTCACAATCCTGAAGGCTTCTTTTTTCTAATCATCCTCTTACATGCTATATTACATTGCTTCCTACACAAATTCAGAGGCAAAAGAGCTCCCTCTACCATCTTTGATTGCATACCTCTGGTTTTGGGGTATTCATCCGCGTTATCAGTCTCTATGGCACACTATAAGTGCCTGGGTATATACACAGAGTTAGTTCCACATTTCCATTTTTCATCCAATCAAGTCTCCTGCAATTAATCAGTATTCTACAACTGTTAGGGATATTAAATCGTATGACCTAGAATTATTTTGTCATTTATCTAGTTACAGCATATGTGCCATGATTGTTTAATATTATGGTGTTATGCTTACAACAAGTTAAGCTATATCTAGGCAGCTACATAGCTTAGACAACTTCACCTAAGCTCTCCTGGAGAGAAACCCTTCAGCTGCTTGCAGTACAAGTCTTGTGATCATCTATCAGAGCCTGAGATTCCTACTTCCAAATCATGCCACCCTGGTATTCAATCACATATTGGCTCAAGCACAAATACTACTATAGGAAGCACTTAAAAAAACAAGTCTTAAATAATCGCTAATAAATGCTATAATATGCTCAAGGTAAACAATGACAAACCTTTGATAAGGGCTGCTTCTGCTGACAATTGATGCCTCCAATATAGACCATATTTGGCATTATTGGGCGCAGATACTCAAAAACAAAGTCATCTCTCATCAGCTAAATGGTTGCTTTGCTAAAACAGTTCCAGTACTGTTACTTCTCTGTGAAGAAAGTTGGAAGCTAAGTTCTCGTCTTTTAAATAAAACAGATGATAGCAAAACAAATGCTCTGAAAACCCAACCAGGAGGTTCTTCACATGCTCCGTAAATCTCATGTGATCTGAACTGGACGTAAAAGTCCTTGGCACATAAGAAAAAGGACTGGGACACTGCGTGGGTTTGTAGTCTAAGGTACATGGAAGACCACGCATGAAGTACACTGAAGGGAAAGATAGATATTCAGCAACAATTGTTCCACAGGGCAACACAGGATCCATCATAATGGCATCAGATTTGCTGTCATGGAAGTACTTCATTAGTTCTTCATCATATAAGAGATGCCGACAAGTAGAAGAGAACATGTTAGTCAGTTCTGATATATTGCTGAGTAAAATTGTAAATTTTTCTAGAAAGGGAGGGTTATCAAAACTTTTTTCACTGACAGAATGGTAGTATCTATCTACAAACTCCTATGTGTAGGGCACAGAGTATGTTTTGATAGTGAAGGATTGTGAGCTTTTCATGAGCAAAGTAGCTTCAGGAATCACCACAATGATTTCGTGCCCCCTTTCCCAGAGTTTTTCCAGAACCACACACATGCTCAGCCAGTTACTTCCATCCTGAGGCACGACCAAGAGCTTCCCACCTTCTGCAAAACTCCAGAAAGAAAGAAAAAGAACAAGCTCAGCATATATTTGGTACCTCCACATAATTGTCATGGGGCTGTCAGCAAGACAAGAAATGCACTGTTCCTTCTTACTTCTTCCAAGCAGCATATCAAAGCAAAAAATAGTTGTACCTCATTTATAACTTCATGGTCTTTAATCTTTACCTCTACAAAATGTTTGCTAAGACAGGTTGTTGGAGTTTAAAGATCACGTTTTAAAGGATGATAAAAGCATTGATAAGAGTGCTATCAAAGGATCTAAAGCAAGAAGCATTTCCATGCATTTACATTATGTTAAATTATTCAGAACAATTAGCAGGGTCTTTGATTAGCAGAGGTAGCAGTTGTTTGTAAAGGGATTTTTCTGTTTGAAGTGAGTCGCTGTGCACTTGACTGTCCTGTGCCAGATTAAAGTCAGGAGTACTGCCTCCCAACTTTCATGGCCACTGAGCTTCTCCAGAGAGCTTGTAATACAAGAAGTGTGTTGCACTATTGACATGGAAGACCTAAACCTCCAACTTTCTCTCTTACACATTTGCTCAGAAAGTGCCTGGAGTTCATGCACGATGTTCTACACGGTAAGCAGGAGCCGGCACGCCAAGCAGTGGTGTCACCAAAGTTTGGGTAACGTATTAACCAAACATCTTTTTATACAAACAATGATGCAGCAGAATATGCAGTTCTTGCTCAAGTGGGGCCATAAGAGTTCGTAGGTGAGTGGCTCGAGGCCAAACATCTTTTTGAAAGCAATGATACAGCAGAACATGCGGTCCTTGGTCAAGAGGGGCCGTAAGAGTTCATAGGTGAGAGGCTACGGGCCAAATGTTTTTGAAAGTTCTTAATAATAGCTACTTTTCAAAAGAAGTTAATAAGGCTTGGCTGTGGTGTGAGCCAATAGTAAGTCCACACTTGTGTCCTGTGCTTACCAGAAAAAGGGGAGAACAGAGTTTCTGAGCTGCTTCTGCATGTGCTATGGTAAGATTTTTCAGGCAAAAGAAAAACCCAAAACCATGTTGGAAGTCCTGTTCTCTGTAACACTCGACCGCAGCCTACAACTACTCAGTGGGGAGTAACAATGATGACAGAGCCAAATTTCTCTGGGTAGCAGTAAATAGTATAATCAGGGCCACAAATGGCAGTTTGAGAGATTTGGACTGAACATTCTGAAAAAGTTTTTTACCTCTGAGGTTTTGAAGGTTTGCCTGTGTAACAGCATGACTGATGTGATCTGATGTGGAAGACAGTCGCACTCCAAGGACTTGTTTAGATATCCAAATCAGGTTGATTTGAATGGGATTTAAGTGCCTAATTATTCTTGAGAACTTGGGTTGAAAATGCAGCAAATGATGCAATGGAAACCCAATGGGTAGACGGGTGAATGAAATAGGCGCCTATAAACAAGGCAATGTCCTTAGATAGGGAGAACACGCAAAGGCACATGAAAACTTTCAAGATAAACCTAGAAAAGCAGATATCTGCAGTTTGTGCTTAAAAGAAGTGCCTGACGAAGCAGATCTCATCTGCCATTAAGGCATATTTCATGGAAAGGGAAAAGGTGGATGCCAAAAGTTTGCAAGTTTACAAAAGCAAAATAAGATACAGGAATGAAGCTGAACAAGAGCAATTGCTGGCTGGAGAAGACAGACTGTTTTAGATGCCCAACCAAGCATCTGGATCGTAGAGAGCTCTGAACAGTTTCTTCATGCTGTGCAGCAGCCTGGAAGAGTTGTATTGGAGCAGGTAGGAGTGATGGGAAATCTGGTTCGTGAAATGGCTACCTTTGCCAAAGGTACCTGGGTGTGATAAGCACATTCCAAGGCTAATACTAAGTGTGTCCTGAAAAGTTTATTTTGATAGGAGGTTCTCCATGTGGCACGTTAAAAAAAGTGATTCTTATAAGCCAACAAGAAGGACGTCTAAGGAAACTGCGTTAAAGAGGAAGGAGTTTCAGACATCAATACAGTCCCATTCTGCAGCCTGTATAAGCAAAGCTTTCTCTCTAGCTGACAGTGTGGTGATATTAAAAGACCAAAAACTAAAGGAGGTGGACAGAAGGTGTTCTCATGTGCCAGAGAGTTAGCTGCAGTACCTATGTGCGCATTTTCACATTTCAGTGATACAGAAAAGATCTCACAACATATGCAGCATTGCATATGCCCTAAGGTGGCAGTATACACTCAGGTAGTTAACCCGGAGTTGCAGACATACTGTTACCCTATGCTAACATATAAAAGCCCCTCAAATCTCATATTTAATACATAGTCACTTCCATGTAGTCTTTAATTTCTGCTAACATTTCAGCCAAATGTGCATTATCTGTGTAACACTAATATAAAATGCTATAAAACAACATTAAAGTAAAGAGGTAAAAAAACCCAAACCAAACCCTTAAGTCTAACGGCACGTCCGTAAGAGTCTAAAAGTTGTATCACTGGATTTTGAGCAACACACAAACACCCTTTCACATGTATATGAGTCCAGAGACTAAAGTCCACAAGTTTAGCCCATTTTCCAAAGGCAAGGGTGAAAAGAGATATCGATCACAAGAAAGTAAAGCTAAAGTGCGGAGTTGAGTGCCAAGGCTGTGTGCTGGAAACAGTACAGTGAATATCCCCAGTTAGGGGAATCCATGATTACCTCTTTTGTAAGTCTACAAATCCTGGCAGTCAGAATGTACGTCTTATTAACCACCCAAATCCTTTTTACACTCGTAGGTTTTGTTTACAAAAAAAATCTGCTGGTGTTGAGAGGCAGATTTTTTTTTTTTTTGTGCATGGTGTGAAAAAGTACTCCCTTTTGTTTGCTTTAAGCTTGTTGCTGCCTCATTTCAGTGTTAGCCATAGGTCAAGTATTGGGAAAAACTGCGTATCAGTTCCCCTTTCACCTTTGCTACACCTTTCAGGACTTTTTACAGACCTCCATCATGGATCCTTTGTTGTATTTCTTTTCATAGGTTTAGCTATACAGTTTATTCCATCTCTACTTTTCTAGACTGAGTGCCAAGTTTGAATCCTCTTAAAAATGCTTCATTTTTACCATGTGAGATTCAGCTTTTTCTGAAAAATAAGCCCTATTTCACTGTTTTGCAAAGTCAATATCTGAAAAACTTACTTAACAGGAATAGTTATTTCTAAAAATAGAAGCTATGATGTTACTCTGCAAACCAAAAAATATATTTGAATACACCTTAAAAAAGATCTGAAATAAATCCAACATTCATTTTATAAGAATAAAGTAACATAACTTATACTTTATTTTTATTATGCCAGTTGATACTTTAAATAAGGAGCATCACTGGCCTGGGATATGCAAAAAGAATGCCAGAAGCTAGGGAAATGGGCCATGTCAAGCAGTTAAGAGCATTTATATTACAGTGACATAGCAATGCTGATGTTTCCACTGAGGAGCATTACTGGCCTAGGATATGCAAAACAAGGTAACATTTCTGCAGCCAAATAGAGGAATGACTGAAATGCTGTGCATTGCCAAATCTGATGAAATTCATAAGATACACTGCTAACCTGTGACTATATCCATCTGCAAATCAAGCACTCTGGTAATTGATGGCACCTTCCAAACTAATGTATTTTTTCAGTCTACCATATTCCAAACCACAGGAAAACTTAAAAGAAAAAAAACTGGCTGTGGGATGTGAGGAAATTCTGCAGGGATTGATCCATAAGGCAGAACAGAAGATTGGTAAAGGACTTCTCAAATTAATCTCTCTCTTGCAGAACATGTTATAAAAAGGTCGTGAGCAACCTGCTGTAATGGCAAACTTGCTCTCGTTTTGGGCAGAGAGCTTGGCCACATGCCCTCTTGAGGGCCTTTCCGGTATGAACTATTTGGTGTCTAATAAAACAAGAAAGCTCTTCATGTGCTGTCAACCCTTTCCCAGAGTGGACATTATCAAATATGCCTTAACTAATGGCCTGAAACTGCACACTCAGATCTCCCTGCATCCTGAGATGTTACTGATGCTTTGATCACTGGTGCCTGATGGTATTCTCATAAGAAAATTGTCTTCTGGCAGAAGATCAAGCTTTTCATCCTTGACTTTTCATCCTTCAAGCTTTTCAACCCTTCGGGATGAGCAGCTCCACTGCCTGACTCATTGCTGGGCCAGGGACTTCCATCCACTGGGTTTTATAACAGGCTTCTCCATCCTTGGGGAATGCTGGGAAAGAAGGAGTCCTGGTGCAGCTGGGACCCAAGGCTGAGAGAAAAAAATCTTCTCATCCATACCAGTGAAAAACAAGACTCTTCTGCCATAAAGCAATAGAAACACTGATCTTTCTGGAGGGTACTTGGCAGTGAAAGGTAACTAGTTCTAAAGAAGATGTTTTCTGAAGCTCAGACACTCATCAGATCAAGCAGGGCAAAATGCATTGTAAAAGTTAATGAAGATGTCACAGGTGAGACCTAGCTGGTTCTGTCAAGTGTTATAAACCCAATAATGGAATTAAATGCCAGCACAGAACTTGCAGCTTAGATCCCAGAAACTAGCTTTACGTCTATGGGCAATTCACACAAAGCAGAAACACAGTATGAGAAGCAGTGTCCACGAGATCAGTGACAGGAGGAGGAGAAGGTTCACAAAGCAAACGTTGCCACGGACTCTTGCTGCTGCAGCAAGTCAAGAGACGAATCTGCTGTAGGAAATTGGTTGTTCTCTTACCAGCAGACAGTGAGAGAAGGCTCACAAGCACAGAGTCATCCTCTAAGTAAAGACGAATGTGAAAGAGCAAACTGGGATTTTCATAGGTGACTATAAACAGTGCTCTCACGGATATCAAAACATCTTATGCCCTTCCCACCATCTTTTCTTTCTCTTAGCTCTAGCAAAGAAGTTGAATTCATCAGTTGGTGGCAGGAGGTGTTTGGGGGGAGGTTTCTGAGCAAAGTGATCAGATTCAGACCTCCACAAATCTATGTGGACTTCAGCAGAGCTATACCCATTCAAAATACCACCCCCATTTTTATAGTGTGATACTTGAGATATCTTCACTGAAATGAGTACTAGTACCCCTTGGCAAAGCAAAAGCAGTTTAAAGCAGTTTACTATCACTCAATTAAAGAGACCTTTCTAACAAAATCTGTGATACAAAGTTCTCTAGTGAACCAGGAGCTTATAAGAACAAGAATCGGGCATGACGCACCTGAGTTAGCTTCCTGTGAGCGCAGTTTACTCCTCCAATTATGATCATGTTGGGCATCAATGGTCTGGGATAGTGGAACACGAAGTCTAATCGCAGAAGCCAAATGGAGGCGTTGCGTAAGAGATGTAACACAGTCACGTCCCGCTGAAGGAACTCAGAAGCCAGTTTTGTGTATGGTTGAAAAAGAAACTCACAGAGAAGAGAATGTGGGATGTCAAAGATTAGATTCTTCACCCGCTGGAAAAAGTTCATGTGGTCTGTAAGCTCTGTGAATATCCTGGGGACATAAGAAGGGGGATTGGGACACTGAGTGGCTTCAAAATCTAAACCACATGGTATTTGCTGCAAGAGAAACACGGAAGGGACTGAAAGATGCTCAGCCAGTATCTGCCCACAGGGTAGTACAGGGTCTGTAAAGACAGCATCAAATTTACTCTCCTCAAGGTATCTGACAAGCTCTTTGTTGTACAGTAAGTGTGTACAGGTAGACAGGAACATTGCAGAGGCTTTTTTTGACCGTTGATAAATTCTAACAACTCTTTCCAGAAAAGATCCTTCTTCAAATACATCCTGTGAAAATGCTTGGAAATTTCCATCCATCTCTTCCTGTGTGAAAGGGACTGGGTACATTTTCATAACAAAATTATTTGTTGGCTTTATGTACAAGCTGATTTCAGGTGCAACGACGACTATTTCATGTCCCTTCTGCCTGAGACCATCCAACACTTCCCGCATGCTGAGCCAACGACTCCCATCCACCGGCACCACCAGCAGCTTCCCACCAGCAGCATAACTGAGCATGGACAGGAGCAGAACCAGCGTCGCTGTGACTTGCAGATGAGCAGTAAGCACTGGGGCCATTTCTGCAGAAATCTGGTGAGTGCTGCCCAGAAAGAAAGCCACTGGCGGCACTGAAGCAACAGCACCAGCTCCGTGCTTTTATGCAATCTGTGTTACAGCCTAACTTTTGATCCTTCAAAGTATTTGCTGTGTGGTAAATGGATAATCACTGATTTGATAAAAGGATGGATAACAAGTAATGGAGTTCAGCAATCTACATGGGCTGGTGGTAAATGTGGTGGATGCACCAGATAAGGCCCATCTGTTTCTACCAGAAAAGCTTTGGCAGCTCTACTGCCTTTGAGCAGGATCTGCCAAGCCATCACAGCCCCTTCAGACTCATTGAGAATGATTTTGTTCTTAGATCTCACATAGCCATCACCAAGGTGAAATCTTCTGAGGCCTGCCTGTAAACAGATGCTTCTTAGCCTGAGAGTCGACAACCTGTTGCTGACTCTGGCTTTGGAAATACCCATGAGAAGGAGCAGACAAATTCATTGACAAAGAAAGAAGTGGTAAGGCAGCAAGGGTGCCCCGGGACAGAAGCCTGTCATGCAATTCTCCCTACTACAACCATTTGCAAAGTTGTATGGATTATACCTAACTGCAAGGATTTGACAGCCCCTCAGACTTACTTGCTGTTCATCCATCACTCACTAAGGGAGAGAGTACCACGTTAAAGCTACACAAAATGGCTTTGAATACACGTAATGAAAAAGGCATCAACTGAGCATACTTTATAAATGAAAAGATACAGCTGCCTACACAGAAAATGGAAAGTGAGGAAGAAAGTGAGAGAAAAATCATTTCTGTCATGAGTATTTGCCTAACTCACTCTAAACAGGAACTTGATTCTTATCTGCAATACAAAATTTCACCCTTGTAAATGCAGAAGTCGATCAGAGCAAGAATTAAAAACAGAGCATGACCCACCTGAGTTAGCTTCTTGTGAACACAGTTTACTCCTCCAATTGCAATGATGTTGGGCATCAAAGGTCTTGGATAATCTAACGTAAAATCTAACCTCATGAGCCAAATGGAAGCCTGGCGTAAGAGATCCAGCACAGTCACATGCCGCTGAAGGAACTCAGAAGCCAGTTTTGCGTATGGTTGAAAGACACAATCGCAGAGAAAATAATTTGGGATGTCAAAGATTAGATTCTTCACCCGCTGCAGAAAGTTCATGCGGTCTGTAAGCACTGCGAATACCCTGGGGACGTAAGAAGGGGGACTGGGACACTGAGTGGCTTCAAAATCTAAACCACATGGTGCTCCTCGCAAAAAAAACACGGAAGGGACTGAAAGATGCTCAGCCAGTATCTGCCCACAGGGTAGTACAGGGTCTGTAAGGACAGCATCAAACTTGCTCTCCTCAAGATATCTGACAAGGTCTTTGTTGTATAGGAAGTGTGCACAGGTGGAGACTGACAAATCAGAGAGTCTTTTCATAGTTTGGTATACTTTAAGAAATCTTTCCAGAAAAGATCCTTCTTCAAATATTTCTTGTAAAAATGCCCGTAAATTTTTATCCATCTCTTCCTGTGTGAAAGGGACTGGGTACATTTTCATAACAAAATTATTTGTTGGCTTTAAGAACAAGCTGATTTCAGGTGCAACGACGACTATTTCATGTCCCTTCTGCCTGAGACCATCCAACACCTCCTGCATGCTGAGCCAATGACTCCCATCCACCGGCACCACCAGCAGCTTCCCACCAGCAGCTGAACTGAGCATGGACAGGAGCAGAACCAGCGTCGCCGTGACTTGCAGATGAGCAGTAAGCACCGGGGCCATTTCTGCAGAAATCTGGTGAGTGCTGCCCAGAAAGAAAGCCACTGGCGGCACTGAAGCAATAGCACCAGCTCCGTGCTTTTATGCAATATGTGCTACAGCCTAACTTTTGATCCTTGGAGGTATTTGCTGTGTGGTAAATGGATAATCATTCATTCGATAAAAGGCTGCACAATAAGCATTTGTTCTAGCCAAGTCCATAGGTTGGTGGTGTGTGGTGGACACACCAGGTTACTCCCATCTGTTTCTAGTAGAGGAACAGTAAAGAGTGTCCCAGGAAGGAGGCAGGGGTGGTTCTGGGTGGGACTGAACTTCTGATAGCCTCCCTCTGGCTGAATCTTTTGCACGTGCAGGAGATGTGTCACATCCACATCACCACTTAGCCTAGCAGAGGCTGCTCCCTCCCCCCGGGCTGCAAGACCTTCCCCCCCGCCCCGCCTCTCTCTCCTTGAACACTCATCTCTAGGAGGCCTATGGCCCCATAGCAGATGTGTAAGAGCTGTTTAAGATTGTTTCTAGACTGAGAAGACTAATGAAGATGGAAGCATGATACCAGGTTTCTCTGCAAGACACATCACCCTCACTAAGCGGTACTTCCAGTGTCTGAGACCTGCCTCAGGGGATGGAGGGGTTGGCTTTGTGAGCTCGGAGGACAGATCAGAGATGTCTGAACACTCTTTGAGAAGGACTTTCCACGAAACAATTCAGGGCCTAATTCTGGCTTCTTTTTTCTCACTGGCAAATCTTGCATGGTGTCCAGCAGCAGTGGAGTTGCATGAATGTTCAGGTGGCACATTACAGTGTGCATGAGGATGTCTGTAAGATGCCATAGCCACCTCCGCCACTTGGAGATGCGTGGAATTGCCACACAGGCTTGGTGGCCTTTCCCCACAGCGCACAAGTCCTAAATAATATGATTGAAGAGAATGCCAGGGCACCGAAAAGAATAGCACAACTCTCCAGGCTCTCCCACAAAGCAGCAGAGGAGGCTTTCCAGTAAGAACTGCGTGCATTACTATCTTCTACGTCTGAGGCACTCAAAGCACATGCCACATCTGAAAGCATAATCACCAAGGCTGCATCCATCCCCTCAGTGCTAGTCATGCTGTCCTGGACATCTCAAAGCAGACCTGCTCTATGGCTCCATTCATTAGGACTGGGTTTTTGAGCCTGGAAAGAGCTTTTAAGGTTTTGTGGGCCATCCCATGGGAGCTGCTCATGAGACAAATCCAGCCCTTTGTCCTACTGTCCAGAAACATTGGCAATCCCATTTGCTGGTGGATACAATGTCCCATCACGGACCTTCACTAGAAGAGCCTAGAGTTTCTCTTCAACTGAGCATACTTTATAAATGAAAAGATACAGCTGCCTACACAGAAAATGGAAAGTGAGGAAGAAAGTGAGAGAAAAATCATTTCTGTCATGAGTATTTGCCTAACTCACTCTAAACAGGAACTTGATTCTTATCTGCAATACAAAATTCCACCCTTGTAAATGCAGAAGTCGATCAGAGCAAGAATTAAAAACAGAGCATGACCCACCTGAGTTAGCTTCTTGTGAACACAGTTTACTCCTCCAATTGCAATGATGTTGGGCATCAAAGGTCTTGGATAATCTAACGTAAAATCTAACCTCATGAGCCAAATGGAAGCCTGGCGTAAGAGATCCAGCACAGTCACATGCCACTGAAGGAACTCAGAAGTCAGTTTTGCGTATGGTTGAAAGACACAATCGCAGAGAAAATAATTTCGGATGTCAAAGATTAGATTCTTCACCCGCTGCAGAAAGTTCATGCGGTCTGTAAGCTCTGTGAATACCCTGGGGACGTAAGAAGGGGGACTGGGACATTGAGTGGTTTCAAAATCTAAACCACATGGTGCTCCTCGCAAAAAAAACACGGAAGGGACTGAAAGATGCTCAGCCAGTATCTGCCCACAGGGTAGTACAGGGTCTGTAAGGACAACATTGAACTTGCTCTCCTCAAGATATCTGACAAGCTCTTTGTTGTATAGGAAGTGTGCACAGGTGGAGAGAGTAATGGCAGAAATGCTTTTCAGTCTCTGGTGTACTTTAAGAAATCTTTCCAGAAAAGATCCTTCTTCAAATACATCCTGTGAAAAAGAATGGATACTTCCATCCACTTCTTTCTTTATGAAGGGTATTGGATACATTTTCATAAAAAAATTCTCTGATGGTTTTATATGTATGTTTGAAAAAGGTGCAACGACGACTATTTCATGTCCTTTCTGCCTGAGACTGTCCAACACCTCCCACATGCTGAGCCAACAACCCCCATCCACTGGCACCACCAGCAGCTTCACACCAGCAGCGTAACTGAGCATGGACAGGAGCAGAACCAGCGTCGCCGTGACTTGCGGATAAGCAGTAAGCACTGGGGCCATTTCTGCAGAAATCTGGTGAGTGCTGCCCAGAAAGAATATTCCCAGCTCCACGTTTTTAAGGAATCTGTGCTGTGCTTTCTTGGGATGATCTTTAGACTTATTTGCTGTGTGGTAAACGTATCATCATGGGTATGGCAAAGACGGAATAAGAGGTGTTAAAAGTGCAGCCATTTTGGCAGACAGTAATCAATGCAGCAGCTAGACTGGGAACACCCACCTCTTTGTGTTGCAGGACACTGAGGTCTACGGAAATGAGGGATCCTTCAACAAGTGGTCTGCTCAAAAGTGCTGATTAATAGATCATTAATTTTCCAAACAAGAATTTTCAGTATAAGAAAATTCCTCTCCTTCTGCCAGTCCAAATAATTTTCTATTTGTAAAAGATTAGAAAAATATTAATGCTTCACAGGGGAAATGGTCTGGTTTCTTTATCAGTTTTATATCTTGACATTGAAATGAAAATGGAAAATTGGCTATCGAAGTTCATTTCCTTGAAATGCCTCTTTTTGGAAGCGTGAAGTAGGGGCTGGAAGGAGGAAGGACAAGGGCATGATTTTGCCAGATATATTTAAAATTGGATGAGCAACTCAGAAATACCCTTCTAGATCAGCCTGCAAAGAGCATGCCCCAGGGCCATGAAAGTAAACAACACTAATGCATAGAGAGGATTTGCAGACAATCAGCCCTAATTATGAAAATTATTGCACAGAGTAATTTTGACCATACAGTAATTTACTATGAAGGTTGATAGTATGCACCAGAATTTTTTTAAGGGCATTTACCGAACTACTGCAGCTC